ACTATATATATATATATATATATATATATATACTAATAATTTCCAAAAGAATCAAAATCTAAACAATGAAGAAAAGGAACATAAATTTTTACCTGCAACCAAGCACATCTCTTCCTTCTTCAGTGATAGTCTTATTGGTACAAAGCTTTTGAAGATCAATGTAACCTATGATGGTATCATCAAACACTGCATTGTCCAATTGGGTATCAACAAATGTAGAACCCGACAGCACAGAGTTCCTAAACACGGCACCTTGCATGTTGGCATTCCCAAAGTTTACTCTATCCAAGACTGCGTTCGAAAAGTTAACACCTGCATGAAACGTCTTGATTAGCTGGGGATAACAATAAATTTGGCGAACCATTTGCAAAAACCTCATAGGAACATGTTTGAGAGAGAGAGAGAGAGAGATTAGTTAGCAGCAGTTAAGCCTCCTCATATACAAGTTACTTCAGAAAGAGAACTGAGTTTTGGCTTGAGAGAGGGAGAGAGTCATAAAGGTTCTCTGTATACAATAGTTTGAGATGTAGAACTGTATGTGTGTGTGTTTGCACATGGGTATATGTGCGCATGTGTGCTTCTGTGTGTGTGTGCGTGTGCGTATGTTTGAGAGAGAGGGAATGAGAAAGAAATTCATTAAGCTTCTGCATTTAGAGTAGATTCAGAAAGAGATTTGTTAAGCTTCTGCATTTAGAGTAGATTCAGACACCTGAGTGAGGGGCTGTAGCTGTGACATGCATGGGGACACAACCACATTGCGTGCATGCACACACCTAAATACACACACGCACACAGATGAGCTCCTGCCAAAATACAAAATACTACTTATCCACAAGGGAAGCATCTTTTATATGGAAGGCTTCTAAGTGGTTCTTAGTAAGTTGCAAAGTATCGATCACTGATATCATAAGTCACAATGTTTTGGTAAATTTCTCTAGTAAAAGCAAAAGCACAACACTAGTAAATTACAAATGATACAATACAAAAGTTAATTGATTATTCTTACTAGAAAAGGATTTTCTAGGAAGAAAATGAAATTATTGACCTTTAAAGCTTGCCCCAACAGCATAAGCCTTTGACATAATGACCTCCGACATATCAGCACCATCAAATTTAGCATCTGACATTAGGGCAGCTGCAAGAGATTTTCCTTTTAAATTGGATTTTTCATTCGTGAAGTCACAAAATCGAAGGTCCAGAGGTTTGTCATAGACACCATTTGCTTGACCAATTGTGTTTCCAACAAATGCACGCTCGCACCGATTTGGCTCGGTCGATAATGGTGGAAGCCTCTGTATAAATGAGGAAGAGAAGAATAAGGAAAATTGAATGGAATGGATTAGGATTGCTAGTCTTCATATGTCTTTTATAGGAATAGGCACTAAGGTACTCCAATCTTATCAAAATAAATCACTAATGCTAAACAAGGCATATTCTTAATGAGACACTGACTAAACCAGCAGACCACTGGATTAAGAAGCATCAGAAAAAAGGCTGATTTCGAAGTAATCAGTCAAAGACCAGATAATGAAAAGAAAAACAGAACCACCAATATACATTTTTGTTTTGACTCAAAGAAAAACTTCTTAGAAAAAATAAGAACTAAAGAAAACTACCAAAAGGCATTTGTACCCATCCCTGACTGCAATTTGTTTCTGTATCATAAAAAGTCATTTATATCTTTCACCAAAAAACTTTAACTGTAGAAAGAAATAACCTGCCAGTCATTCCTTTTGGATAATCAAGGGTACTTTAGTAGTTAGTTATGACAACTATGGTTGGTAATGAATAATAACAGTATTATTTCTATCACCTCATAATAAAGTTCTCAAATTGCAATTTTAAACCGGGAACAAAGATAAATAACAGGAAATTATCGACCTGATTGGCAGCAAGTGCAGGTGACACAGTAGTCACTGCCCAAACAGCAAGCAAACTACAGGCTACATTCTTCAGTTGCTTCAAAGGTGAATTTGGATGAGAGTTGGTACTTTCCTTTTCAATTCCTACAAACCAGTTTAAAACAAAATGCATTTTCACAATCAGTTAGTATATTCTGAAAACTTTACATACTAGATTGTAAGCATGTTCTACTCAATCATAAGTTGAATAAAGCACAAAAATGAATAAAGGTTGGGCACCTAGCTTCATGGTTGGAGTGGTCACTGACAATTGCAGCAACACATCCCACGTTCAACTCCCTCTGTTAACCCACCCAAAAGGAAGACAGGAAAGTAACACTAAAATCCAATGGACTAGGGAAAATCTAAGTCCGTGGCCTCCATCCCATCAACGATGAATGGAAAGTCCATTGGACTCATCTCTGTCAGTTAAATAATGAGTCATCACGGTCCAATCAAATAATGAATGGTAATCGATGGAGTGTAATATCCATGAGAACGGGACATAACACAATGATGGCTACCACTCTCTCTCCCTACATCACCTTCCTTAATTTGATTGGAAGGCGATGACCCATATGCACAATGAATTTTACCATAGTTCATTCGACCATACTAATTTTGCCTTGTGGCATTCCAGATGCTTCCCACAATTCTGTAGTTCTTTTCACTAATAAGAACCGGGTGATGGGCCATAGTTCTCCAATCCACACAAGTTGCTAAGTCATACATGGGATTATGACAACACACCACGGCAAATTAATGGTATACCAAGTTCACATGATGAAGCAAATATATAATCTTCTCACATAAAAAACCAGTGTCGGATATTCTTGTCACTACCTATCATGGGGCAATTGTCCTTCTACTGTCATTAGACACCGGGATGCAAAGTTCGAGGGAGCCTAGATTCTAATCAGTTTAAATTCTTATATCCATTAAAAATGCACCTAAGAAGTCACTGCTCAAGAGAGAAGATTTTAGAAAGTTCAATGGCCAGGCCCCAAGTTTTCGGATTAGAAAAAGCAGTCTATAAACAATTCAAACCTTAGAAAAGTGACTACAAATTAATGAGAAGAGAAGTAGAGGACACATTCGACAAGTTGAACTAGATTAGATTTTATAGCGAAGTATCAAGGTGCTGCATCACAAAATTGGGATTCATCATTTGATACAATTCTAAAATAACAGGTTCGAAGACAGACAAAAAATGAAGCAAGAAAAACAGCCTACACAGCAAGAAGCAACACTAAATTATAATACAATTTACTTAATTAACAGCATAAACAGATCACTGCTATGCAATGATGCCCTAATGAGAATATTGAATGTAAAAGAAGACATTAGGATTGCATGATACAAATCACTTCATCCCTGTGCAATATGGACACACATGTCTAGTTTTTTAACTTGTGTCCATAGCTCCGTGACTCCCCCGAGCCCACTCAGACTCAGCCAGGTATCTTGAGTTGTGTGTACAACTCGGGGTACATTAAAAATTAAAGCAAAATTAAAAAAATGTTAAAAATATAGGAACTTTGTATAACTTTTTTTTTATATGATTCGATTTTTTGGGAAATGAATCGTGAGTGTTTTTTGCCATAATTCCTATCTTTATATTTTCATTTTGTCATTTTTTTTGTTTAAATCTCCCCATCTATAAATCATTTTTTTATCCATTTTCCTATATCTTTTTAAGCTTATTTGGACTTTTCAACATTGGTTTAGTTTTATTTTGCTTTTTATATCATTCTCATATTTTTATATGTTTTGCCCGTTTTTTCTAGGGCCTTTTCGCCCTGTACAGGACTCAAGCAAGTCTGGACTCACCCGAGTTACTCGGCTCAGCCAAGGGCCGAGTCCCTTGGCCTAGACGAGTTTCTAAACTTTGCTTGTGTCAACACACTAAAGACATGAGGCCTGTGTTGGACGCTTTAGAAACCTAGACATAACATTTTCTTTTCTTTATATTTCTTCTTGAAAATCTAGCTATAGAAATGCTTGATGTCATCTAAAATCCAACCACCCCCTTTCTTTAAAAGGTGATTGGACCTTACATGTCAAGAAGGCCAAATTTAACATTAGAGTTTATGACACCAGTATCCATGTCAAATGCTACTACATGTTGAGTCTCTACATAACATGGCTTCATCCATATTACACTCTCTATGCGATTGAACAGTAAGAAACCTATTTTTGGAATTGGATTGATGATAACAGTGAAAAATATAAATTTTATCTTAGTTATTTGAAGGCATAATCTTATTTCTAGAAATAAACAACATATTCCTAGAATTAGTGCACTTAAAATGAGGATATTGAGATGGATAAATAGCTGGACAAGAAAGGATTGAATTCAGAATGAATACATCCTACGGAACTTAAAGGTGACTCCAATGGGGGATAATATGAAGATTTAGGTGGTCTAGCAATGTGCAACGTCAACCTAGAGCAGCACCACTACATAGGGCCAATTTGGTTCGATTCAAAAAGGCAACGGTAAGACCCAAAAGGATACGGTTAGAAGAACCAAAAAGACATGGTTAGAAGTAGTGATAAGAGATATATGGTCTGAGTAAAGGTATGACCAGGAAAATGACAAAGCACGATTCATGAAGTGAAAGTGACAAATGTTCTTCCTATAAATTTCCACAGATAGAATCCACAAAAATATAAAAAATGCAAAGAAATAGTGGCTTCTTAATCTGAATCCCATGGTTTCTGATAAGAAATTGTAGGTTTCCACTTGCTAAACAATAATGTAATGCTTGGAAAACAGGCTTAAAATGCAAATCATAGAGAGAGAGTACATTCAGATTCTTTATTAACACATAAGTCTTGGAAACCTTTCCAGAGAGAGTTCAAATTCCTTAACCATACAGGGTTCTCAGGTTTCTTCAGAAGTCAGGAAGCAGAGAGAGAGAGATCAAAATCAATAGAGAAACAGATAGATAGTGAGAGAAAGAGGTAACTTTTACGAGAGAGAAAGAGAGCTCAAACAAGCTTGAGAGAGAGGTTCACCTGAGCATTGAAAGCCATTACTTAGAGAGAGAGCTTGTGGTTGATAAAATGGTTTGAATTTGGGTGCAGAGGAGCCATTAACATGGTGAAGGAAATTGTGGCTTTGACTGTCAAGCAGGTAGTGAGAGAAAGAGATCGAGGCCATCTCAGTGAGAGAGAGCTCTGCAACCAAACAAATTCGAGAGACAGAAAACCCACAAACGGTGGGTTTTCGGCCTGTTATACCATGCTCCCCATCTTATCCTTTCACGATCCAGACCCGTTTGCTACGTGGCACGAATCATATTCGTGCCACGTCGGCGCTCCCATAATCCATTCGGTCATGGTGTACGGTACTCCTGAGTGAGATCATTGAGGAGTTCAAACCAGTTTTTATAATTATCAAGTCGGCTGAAGGAGTATTGTTTTAAGTTTCTATAGACCCGTTAGATATTGTGTACTATTCTTGCTATAATGTTTTGCTTTTATGAACCAGATATGAGTTTGTAGCACAGTTTTCAGGTGCGCTTGCAGCCTCACCAAAAACTCGCTCATAAATAAATGCTCAATGAAATAAAAAGAGATGCTTTATGGATTTAAACGGTAACTAGTAATATGAGGCTTCACAACTCAATAAAAAAAAAAGATATTGCGCTCCCACAGGAGTAGAATGTCTTAGAATTAATTGTGCTCTCACAGGAGTAGAATGCTTTAGAATTAATTTTAAGATTTGGGGATGTAACTTTTTCAACCCATAGATTAATTTCAACAAAAAAAAATCCTAATTTCTATCCTCTCTACACTTGAAAAAAAATATATTGACATTGAATAAAGACTAATAGAGGGTGACATGAAAGTGTTAGAAAGCTTAGATTTAAATCTTTTTTCTTTTCCTTTTTTTTTGTAGAACGTTCATCTAGTAATTCTTAAATGGCTCTCAAAATTTCAGATCCAAAAACCCTTTCAAGTAAGTCTTCTTATGAAAAGAGTAAAAAGTAAAGTAAAGTACGCTCCCTTGGGAGCATAGTATATGTGTTAAAAAAAAAAGGAAAAAAAGATAATAGCTATTGCTATTTTAGAAAATCACAAAATTGATCGCAAATATTTAGGAAGAGATGTGTTTTAAACAACAAAAAGAAATGAATGGATTTTCTTTTATTTTTCCTGTTATTTTCCTAAGTTTTGCTTCTTCTTTTAAAATTTTTACTACATTTTTCCCAATTTTTTTTACACCCATCACTTGTTTCTAAAACTGAATGGTGAATTTTAGATGTAATGGATGACCACATATCATGATATCAAGCATGTGTTCTTAAATTTGGTAATGGGAAAGTATACGATAAGACCGATTATTTTTGGTACAAAATTGTCACAATCACCTGTGTCTATCAAATATGAAATTGGGTGGATATGCGTAGTAGACTAGCAATTATATTCGAAGTCAAGAACTTTCCTCATACTTTGTGCAGAGAAATGAAACACTTTATCCATTTGATTTTACATCAAACGGTTTTGGATTTTTGTGACCTTACAATGAGACAGCTTACCTCAATATAACAATGGTCATTGGTCTCATTCTATGAACACCCTCTAATTTTCCGAATAAAATGAATTTGGTGATACCAAATAATGGTTGTCATCATTATTGTCCAAGCCTTCCTCCAACTAATTGGGGTTGGCTGTCGACAGAGAAGATATCCTCTTTAATTGCAAGGAAAGATAATTGGGGTTAGCTGTCGACAGAGAAGATCTCCTCTTTAATTGCAAGGAAAGAAATTAGGTCACCTAGAACTTTAATTAGCCAAATAAGCTATTTTTATCTTGGTTTTTCTATCTTAACATCTTTACAAGCCACTTTGATTTGATTTGAATGGTTTGGAGTAGGTTTTAAAAAAATATCAATTTGGATCAGAATCACCCGATTTTGATTGGTTTTTAGGATAATCGGTCCAATTCCTTTTAAATATCGAGAACTTGCTGATTACAGGTGGTAACCGGATAGATCCCGATTTCTTGTAGGAACCAATTTGGCCGATTTGGACTGGTCCACAAATCCACACCACCAATTTTCTAATCCCGACAAGATGGGCAATTCGGGTCATCAATTTATTTTTTAACATTAATTTAGAGTTTCAATGTCAAGTTAGGGAGAACATTTTGAAAAACCTTATTTTTTCTTCAAATGCCGTTCTAGTTCACCCCTAACCACCAAACAAATGGAAAACATTATTAAAATGGTTAGAGCACCTTAAAAATATCAATAATTTTGGATACTATAGAAAGATTACCTTGTATGGAATTTGTTGGAAATATCCAAATTACTTGTATTCCAAATTTCTAACCTTGAAAATGATATTTTGATAATTTGACCCATTATATCATTGGAGCTAAACAACTTAAAAAGACTTGTTTGTTCTGGGTTCTAAAATCGGTTTCATAAAAAAAAAAAATTTGGATTTGGAAACTTGGAATAACCAAGAGAATTTGGGTACATATGCCCCATTTAAGTCACATCAATCAAAAGACAATCACGCCATCTTATTTCAAGTTCCAAACCCAAAATATAGATATTCTAGAAATAAGATATTCTAGAAAGCACTTTCAGCCATCTTATTTCTAGTATAGATATTATAGAATATCTATACTTTTCTAGAAAGCACTTTCAGCCAACAAAAATCTCTATGATGGCCTTAAACTTAATTTCCAAATCTTTGGACGCTTATTTTTAGGAAAAGTTTAGAGCCTAGGCTTTAAACAATCAAATTAGAGCCTACATCAACCTTCATTAGAAGAGGTTGTTTTGCTGCGTAAATATCACCAAATTGATCATCTCCACATCAAGATGCATAGACATGAGAAAAAAATGGATTTTAATTTTCATAAATAGTGCATCTTGTAACACATTTTTTGATCGTCAATTTTCAATATTTCCAAATTTTCATAGATCTGCTCGATCTACACTATTTTTGAAACTTTAAATTTTATAACTAAAGGTGAAAATATAATTTAAGGCTAGCACAAAACTTTTTACTATTAAAACCATATTTCTCGATACTATTTGAAGGTCGACTCTAATTTGTTCGTTTAGAGCCTCGGCTTTATACAAACTGCACCCATTATTCTTAGGGAGAAATAGATCAGTCTAGATAATTTGTTAAAATATACACTATTTTTTAGAGTTTGAAATACTACTTTTTTTTTACTGCCATAATATTCAAGTTGAGATGATCGATATAAAAGTTTTTCAATGTTTAAATTATCATTTTTGATGGGTCATTAGGTGAGGCTTCACTTATTTTGATAGGGCTATAGCCCTATCAAACCATTTTCCTAATTTTAGGAGGGTGGATTCCAGATGCGCCTCCCGGCACACCAAAACCTATTCCCTTTTTAATACAATAAAGCAGTTTGAAGAAGGAAACGGTTTATTGAGAGTCGAGGCTCTAAACAATCAAATTAGAGCCCACCTCAAAAATTTCACTATAAGAGGTTGTTTTGATGCTCAAATATCCTCAAATTGATCACCTCGACATCAAGATGTATGGACATGAGAAAAAAAATAGATTTCAAGTTTTAAAAATAATACATCTTATAATGCATTTTTGGACGCCAATTTTCAAGATTTTCATAGACCTGCTGGATCTACACTAATTTTGAAGCTTTAAATTTAAAATTAAAAATAAAAATATATGTTAAGGCTATCACAAAGATTTCCAGTATTGAAATCATATTTTTTAACACTATTTGAAAGTGTGTTTTACTTTGATTATTCAGAGCCTCGGCTCTATACAAACTGCACCATTTGAAGAATCAAATATGTATAATACGTTTGAGAGAGGGAGGGAGATTGATAAGTGATTTGCATCTGTCCATAAGCTTTTTATGCCTAGATACATTTACATTTTTAGTATATTCCTTCCGAGTGTGATTCACCCTTGTAATAAGTTACCGAAATGCAGGGCTTTTTCATTTTAAAGATGACCCCAAGTATTATGATATTTTTAAAAGGAAATGTATTTGGTGAGTCAGTCAATTCAAGAGTTTGGAGCCTGCAGGGAAAAAAGTTGAGCACCAAAAATTATAGTAAGTAAAAACCTTCGATCATCTTGATCATCATACTATATTTGTGAAAAATAAAAAAGATTTCAAGACCTAAAAATAGTGTATATTGTAACAAATTATCTAGGCGGTCCCTTTTCAAGTCTTCACGAATTCATAAGATCTAAACCATTTTGAGCAACAAATTTCATAACCATAGTGGAAATAGATTTTAGAGCTATCTTAGATGGGAATTCCTATGCCGGAATTTTTTTGAACAAGATTTCGAGATGACGCTTAGGGGTGGCAACTGTTTGAGTGAGGTCGGGTCCGGCTGGACTTGGCCCTAAAAATACAGTATGGGATCCGAACCCGGCCCAAAAATTAAAATATCAGTTTATTTAATTATATTTAAATATATTTTATATATTAGGACTTAATATTCCCGGACCCGGACCCGACCCTCCAGATCCAATTCTTGGACCCATACCCAGACTCGGATTGGTTCTACCCTCAGGTCTCGGGTCGGGTCTGGGTCATTGCCACCCTTTTGAGACTTTTCTATTTTTTCATAAGCCTTCTAGAAACTGCACCCATCAAATAATGTATGGCCTTGGCCAGGTTGGTCAACTGTGTCTTGATTAATAATTTTTAGAGAGAGCACGTTGCATTTCTCCATAAGCTTAGATGCCGAAATGCATTTGCATTTCTGATATATTCCTTGGCTAAGTGAGATTCATCCTTGTAATTAAAGCAATCGAAATGCTATGCTTTTACACTTTAAAAGTGCACTCTTCAATGTTCTCTCTCTCATATAATTAATTTTTAAAAAAGTGCTCTAACTTTTCTTCACAACGAATTTCTTAACATCCTCCCTCCAAAGCCTTTTTAAATCAATAAAAAAACTTTAACACTATTTTTCTCACCACTTTTCCTTTAGTCAAATAGTCAAAAAAATAATAACCAAAATACCCCTCATGCACCCAAGCTTTCGTTGTGCCGGTCTAGCACAAAACACTACCGGACCGGCTTCATCTGATATTGATTTGGCCAATATTCTGACACAAAAATGTGCCGAACTAGTCCAACATGTTGGTATCAGTTTGACACATCTTTTGTTGGTTCGACCCATTTTGGTGTCGATCTAGCAGCCAGACTGGCATTATGAAATCAATGTGTCGGACTAGTCCGGCACATAT